CTCGAGTCCAAGTGAAGTCACGAGTCATTGATGTTAAAGTCCAAGTCGAGTTCCAAGTCTCTTTACATTTTGTCGAAGTCGAGTCTAAAGTCATCAAATTGATGACTCGAGTCCAAGTCATGAGACTCGAGTCCACACGTCTGATATTTACCCATGACAAAAATGCGCATTCAATGCTGATCCCAGTAGCGTTGGAAAAAAAAATTAAAACTGCATTGTAGTTTCTCTGGTTTTGGTAATTACAGGAGTACTCAGTGTTTAAATAAAACAAACATCATTGGTTCATTCTTTTAACTACTGACATCATCACACAACAACGATACTGCTGGAACTCTTCCTAAAATATGAAGAAATGGTGATTTATGATCAATTTGGAGTGGCCTCTTAATATTTTTTTTTTTCCAGAGCTGTAAATGCACACATGAATGATCTCTGCGACTTTTATATAGCCATTTAATATTTTGTAAAGACTAGGTAAAGCAGGGGTGTCCACACTTTTTCATCTTGGCAGCTACTTTTTTAAATGACCAGGCTAAAGTGATACTTACCTACTTTGAAAACTCAGAATGTATATTGATTCATATAAACTGAGTAGCTTATTATATACATTATATGTTGTACACATCGTACTGTCTGACTCAGTACTTCTATGCTCCATACATTACCCCTAGCGATTAGCATCTTAAAGTAGAATTACATTTATAATTTTAATTATTTTTAAAAAATGTCACTCTTCTTGTTCTACCAGCACTCCCTTTGAGATCTACTGGTAAATCCCGATCTACTTTTTTAGAGTTTTTTTTTCCTTCTCCATAGGGGCTTTCAGAGAAACATTGTGAACTGTGTGTGTGTGTTCTCCCTCTTTAGGCAGAGGTCATGTACAAAAAAAACCCCAAACTACTAAGTCAGCTGCAGCACTGTGAGGAGTCAGGGATCCCACTCGTGGCCATACTGGGGGAACAGGAGCTGAAAGACCAAGTGGTCAAACTCCGTGTGGTGGCCACCAGAGAAGAGGTATGCTCTGAACACTGTACCCCTGCGGTCTGTACCTGTTCGTGTGCTTGCATTAACACCAGGGATGGCTCGATACAACTTTCATGTCTGATACCCATACTGCAACTTCTGACAATGCCGATATCATTCCATACCCTTTTTTTACTCCTTCAGCATGCCATGGGTTGCCTTTGCTCAGGCAATAGTGTGCCCTGTTCATGGCATGTCGCTCAAAGTTACGTTGAGCCCCAATGCCGATCTCATTCCATACCCTTTTTTTTTTCTCCTTCAGCATGCCATGGGCTGCCTTTCCTGAGCCAATAGTGTGCCCTGTTCACGGCATGTCGCTCAAAGTTACGTTGAGCCTATACTAGTTATACCTAGGTAATGGATCGGACGAGCTATAGTTGCCTTTTTCAATATTCAATCCTAAAATGTTTACCGATATGGGACCAATACCAGTATCGTATCATGACATCCCTAATTACCAACACCTTGGCGAATTGAATACTGTTGAGAACCTGATAACATGTATATTTGTATCTGTACAAACCACTGTATGAGTTACTGCCACCTAGTGACTGGAGGCTTGTTATCATTTACACATTACAGCAGTACAACTTTGTCCAGCGTGCCATATTTTATTGGAAGCCCCTGATCTCCCTTCGTTTAAAGCTCGCTTTAAACTACTACCTTGGTTTAAAGTACTGTTTTAACCTCTTTTAACTCTTCTCATTTTTATTTCATGCATTTCCAAACGTATGTATACACACTAAGAATAAATCGCAGTCTGTGGCTTTAGACCTAACCTCTGGACCTATCTGTCTTTCTTTTGCCAGTTGGATATTCCCCGGGCTGATCTGATCAGTGAGATCAGGAAGAGGACTTCGGCAGCATAGTCATTCAACTGAGACGGCTGTTTCAAACAGAACAACATTTAGCCAGTTCAGCCGTTTGTAGTTTTTTTTCAAACAGATCGTCGAGCCTGAATTAAAGAATGAAACTCTTTTAAAGTAAGATGATTTACATGGCTGCATAAGTGTCTCAATAAACGGTTGTAACCCCTACCTGCTCAGTAGTCTGTTGTTCCCTGGTGTTGTTTGCCAATGTGTGCAGAATGATACATTTTGTCTTGACTTGATTCTGATTGAGCAGATGCTAATTGTGCTAGAAATTACATCATCCATTAAAATGTTAGCGTTGAGTGTTGGAGTACTTCCTGAATGTGTTTGTACATCACCTTAATGGACCTTTCAACTAAATGATCCCTAGATAAAGGGAACCAATTATAGCTATTGTCAGAGAAAAGGCAGGGTCCATCGTGAAAACCTAAATCATGGTTGGCGTTAAACATTTTCCCTCTGCAAAATGAATAGGTGGAATTATTAAAGTGGTTTTATTAATATGCTTTAACCCTTCAAACACTAGGGCTCAAAATATTTAATGATAACAGGTTCACAGTGGCTTTTTATTTTGCAAATGTATGTAGAAGAATTCAGACCAACTAACCAGAACACTTTTTTCAGTCTGTTTTACTAAAACAATTCAACATTAACAAACAACGGCATGCATAAAACAAACGTAAAACAATGTAACCAGCACTTCTAATTAAAACATGCATAATTCAGCAAACTCGGAAACCACAGCAATACGAAACATGATTAGAAACATTCTGTAGAAAGAAAAATAATAAGTTGGAGCTCATTACAGGCTGAACTGACCACGGAAGAATTTCTGCATGACCTGCTGTACTGCAGCCTGCCGAGCATCCTCTAGCACGCTGATGGCACAGGGTCCTGGCAGGACCATGACCCTGCCTGTGAAGGGTGCGGTTACCATTGGAATGTGCACTTTGTAGTTGAAGTGAAGGAATCCATCGACTGCTGCATGACAGAGGATCACGTCACAGCGTGGCTTTACAACATCAAGCAACTTACACAGCTTGTGCAGCCGCATCGCCCGTTCTTCCTGAGACAATTGCTGCGCTCTGGGAGCGGAGGGAGAAGAGGAGGAAAGAAGCAGGTGGGCCGTGGGGCATTCTGCTGTTGTTGGGGAGCGTGGCACATTGGGTGCAGAAGCCACGTGGGCAGAATGATTCAAACCAGGTGGGGCAGGAATGGTGCCAAGATGCCGCTTGCTCAGCGTCAAAGGTGGCTCATTGTGGTTTGGATTCAGAGCTGTCTGCCACTTGACTAAGATGGTCAATGCAAACCTCTTTTGAAAAGCTGAACATTAACAGAAGAGGACATACAAAGGGTAATGCAGCCAGTTGGTTAGAACCTTAATGGATTTAAGCTTCATCAGCCGAGGCTTACCCACCTTCAGCCAGCACCTTTTTGGCCATGGAGGCAGCATGATGAGAAGTGAAGACCAACGTGGCCCACTTCCCATCCATGTCCATCCTCAGAGACACACTATCCACCCCTTCCACCATCATCTCCAGCACCTGCATAAGGATGAGTCATTCATTTACATTATTTAAATACTGTATACAGTATAATCTTTAAGGCCACATTAAGCCCTAAAACTGATACAACATTTTTCGAAATGGCAACTCTAAAAGTACCTATGCCTACGGGCTAACTTGCCATGTAATTGTAGATATATAGATAGATAGAACTTTATATTTGACTTGCCATGTAATGGTAGATATATAGATAGATAGAACTTTATAAATCCCTCGGTGAGACATTGAGGCTCCAGCAGCGGTACAGCACCAGAAAGAAACATACAGGAACAACACAAGAATAAAATAGATTGTAATAGAATGTTATTGTTGTCATATTTAATGTTATTATTCAAGTGTGTATTATTACTTTTTAAATTCTATATACTAAAGTATACCACATTATCAGCATGGTATGTATATAAATATATATAAGAAAGTATAAATATATATAATCAGTTACATAACAATACATGATAGTTTGAATATGTAGCAGTATTGCTAGTTTAGATAACAGTTTCAATACATAAACAGTCTGAATAGTTCAAATAAACAGTTTCGGCTAGATCGAATCGATAGATCCTCTCTCTGGGTCAAAGTCGAGCCGTTCTTTGGACCTAACCTTTGACCTATTTGTTCTTTAGTCTAAAGAAATTTAAAATTACAATTTTAACCATCTTACTACCAACAACATCAGCAGCAAAGACTAGGTGCAGGAGACACGTTCAAAGTTGGGAAGCTTTTTGCATTTGCCATCAGGATGTTCTGACAGTGTAAACATCTTAAATTTAAATGCAGTTTTTTTTAATAATTTTTCTTTTTATATTTTGTTCTTGTTCCTGCCTGGTCTGAGTAAGATATTTTAATTACAATGGTTTTAAGATTTATTTCAGGTGACACAAGAATGACAATATCATTCTTGTTTCATTTGTGTTGCAATGGAATTGATTTTGTTACTGCTGTCTGGAAGAAAAAAAAAGCTCATCTAGTCTTGATATTCTAAACTGCTGTATGTTAAAATATACACCTTCACACATTTTTCATTCAATTTACAGCTAGTGTCAAGTGTCGAATATGCTGAGATCTTCATTGGGAGTAACCAGAATGGACAGGATTAGAAGAGACAGGGAGATAAAAGGAAACAATTAAGATCCTTCTGGTCTTTGGAATGCAACACAAACCACTACACCTTTAATAGCTTGTCATGCGTCATAGTGATTGGCAGCGTTCCAATATAGAGGTTTCTCTTCTCAGTGCTGTAACACACACTAATGTTAGCCCCGGGCACCAGCACATGTCCGTGAAGCTTGAAGATGGCCTGAGCAGCTACGGCGGATGAGCTGTACTTGGCGTAAGCAAAACCACGGTTCTGCCCACTGAAGTTCATCATCAGCCTGAACTCCCACAGAGGTCCTACAGAGCTGAAGAGAGGAATGAGCAGGTCCTCGTAAACGTCACGTGGGAGCCGGCTGATAAAGACCTCACATCCGGCACCTGGAACCGGGCCATTCCACTCTAACAACAAAAATCAATAGATGGAGGTGAAGTTATTATTACAGTTTTAAATAATCGTGCCTTCAATTACTCCTTAGCCTATAGAATATCACACAATTTCATCACCTGCAGTGTATACTGTAATTTCCGGGCTATAAGCTGCTACTTTTTTTCCCCCCCACACGCTTTGAGCCCTGCGGCTTAAACAATGATATGGCCTATTTATTGATTTTCATACCGCTAGCGATCAATGACTTTTCTGGTAGGTTACTGTGTGTTATACTAGTAGCGTATGTCTGTCTGTGAATGGTTGTGTGCGTATATATGTGCGTTGAGCGCGCGCAAGAGAGAACGGTGGCGAAAGTTGAGAGCAGTTTGAGCTCTGTCATGTTGAAGCCTGTGTTGGTTATACAGTAGCTGTTAAAACACTTTATGTACTTTTGTGCTTGGTGTGGTTGAAAATACTGTTTAAATAAAGAGTTTTAGGGCAGTGTTGCCTGTACAGCTTAACAAGATGGATAACTGTGCAGTGTATGTAGCCATCATCTCAAGACACCAGTCAACTTCTCACATACTTCTCCTCAAGTTGTATCAGCAGGGGGCACATTAAAGTATGTCTATGAATATTCTCAGTCATCCAGGTCATGGTTGAAGGTTGAAGAGTTCTGTTAGGCCACTGGATTCCATGTCCTGTTGTCTTCTTCAACCTTAACTAAAGTAACTAATTAAGAACATTTGAAAAGTGTGATACTTTTCAAAAGCCCTGTTTTCACTGCTGGCAAGACTGATAGATATGAAAACTTAACGCAACAAATAAAGCTTTGCCATATTGAAGAACCTATGGTCTATCAAATATAGATTTATTGATCATTTGTACTATGATCACGAAGAGTTAGATCATTGTTAAAGTGTTGTAATTGTTATAGATTTTGTCACGGATCCCTTTGAGAACCTTCACTTTCTTACCATGTGCTGAAAGTTACCACATAAAACACTTCACTCACCTTCAGGTGGTCCTCCATATTTCCTTTGACCATTTATTTGAGTCAGTTTAGTGTTGGTTGCTTTTACCCACGTGTTAAATGCTTGTATGCGCTCAGGGTTCATCACCTAATGAAAAAAAACACCAGACAGCTTCTAAGTAATTTGACCTTAGCTAACAGTAAAATGAATTAAGAATATAACAAAATTAAAATATCCTATACAATCAGAGGACTATGAAAATCAGCAACAAACCTCACATACCATCAAGATATGTATATATTGCCATAGCAATCATTTGTTTTGAAGCATTGCACAAACAAATACTTGAGTCCAATCACCCGAAACCAAATTGTAAAGTTTTAAAAGAAATGGTGACTAAAACTTATTAAACATATTTTACCCTTAGATAAAATACTCTATCAAAGTAAATGTATTCTGTTTGCTTAATATTATTACCAATTCGCTCATTTTCAATCTGTTCAGAGTCAAGGCTTTATATAAATATAAAAATGACTACTGACGTATTGAAGATAGGACGAAATACCATAGCGTTGGCCTAGATCCTGGTTGTATCAGTGAACGGTATAGTGCGAAGAAAAACACGAAAATAGTTGACAAGTATCGATACTTTAATATGAGTCACGGTCATAAACTGACATCTGATGACCGAAGTTTCTACGGCCCAAAAAGCAGGTGAAGTTTAGACACTGAGGAGAATGGCATTACGTTTGATGCGACCGCCATTTTGCAACCGCCAAAATACTTAAGTTCTAATCAACCTCGCCAACACGAGACAAATAATGAAACACCGACCTTTTATTGTATTTGCGTCTGCACTATCTGCGTTTAAAAACTTTTTTTGTTTACTCTTAACACTTACCTCGCAGTGCATCACACTTTCCATCATTTCTACCATGACTGCGGTCAAAGATGTTTGTTTTAATGCAGTGGTGTTCACACATTCCACGCTGAGCCCAACCACAGTAGAACATGGAAGCGGGGGTGACCACATAGGCAATTTATATCTAAATGAGGAAAAGGGAATTGTGGACAACTGATCCATCATCAATACAGATATTATTAATATATAATTCTTTTGTTGCTTTCATTTTGACAACAACGGAAATAAAAAATACAAATATTTACGTATTTAACTTTCTCTACACTGTGTTGAACGCTGACCAATCACGTTGTGTAGTGCTGAAAAGAGTGAGTCCCAACCGCTGTGGCGCGGCACGAGTGTACGGAAAGATCACCAGGTGTAAATAATCAAAATTTCCTTAATTGGTCTAAAAATAGTATTTATTTACTACAAATAATTTATCTTAGTTCGTATGTGCCATAGTTTTTCCTTAATTGGTCGAAAAATAGTATTTTTTATTTACTACAAATCATTTATCTTAGTTCGTATGTGCCATAGTGAAAGGTATAGCGGTTTAATACTCCCACTAGGCAGAACCAGATGATTATGAAAATAAAATAATTAATTAAAAAACAGCAGTTGAAGACCTTTGGATGTCTTTCTTCAATTCCTGCGAGTGTATCAGCATACTAAAACACCCAGGTTTTACAGCAAGTAAGCAAACTTTGACTAAATCGTAAGTTGGAACTTTACCTGATTTTGTTCTATAGAAGAGCTTGAAGCAATGTTTCTAATGTAGCATTTGACTCAAAAAGGTTGGGAAACACTGGTTTGGAACCATTCAATTATAACCCTACAGAATAACAGAACCTGTGTTGAATGTAATTTAGAGAATTTCCATCATAACTGTTGGTCAGGTCTTCTTCTTTTTTTCTTTATCAATGATGTTTTTGTTAATGTTGCAACAGTAAGTGCACAAAAAAGTTTAGCATAATGTAGTTGCATTTATTTAGTAGATAGCTTTTCAGAATGAAAACATATTGCATGACACAACTGCTGATGTAATATTAGCTGACACGACAATAGCAATTTCTTCCATAATCATGAAACACAATCTACTTTTTAATCTCCCTTTTTAAAACAAAAAATATGAATTCTCTATTCCATCAAATATTGGAATTTACCATTTTTACCAGGCTTTAAAGATTATTTAAAACGTATTAGGCCATAATAGACTCGTGCATGAATATCCTATCACATCAGATGCCTTTGTATCACAGTAAATGAGAGGGGGGGAAAAGGAAAGGAAAATTCCCTTTCCTTTAATCCCACCTTGTTTATTTGTTACATTTGAGGGCGTATTTGAGGGGGGCAGTGGTGCAGGGGGCAGTGGTGAATTACAACATCAACAGCGCCCTCGAGTGTCCAACGTAAGTCACTGCTCTTTTCCACAAATCTGCGTCCCTATTGATCTTTTTACATATAAATGCCTTATAATCATGTGCGCCTTATAAATAATAATAAATAAGCCGCAAATAAATTAAATAAATACTGCCTTTATTCTTACCACAGACAGGAAAATAATGCAAACTGCATTTCGTTGCTCTGTACTTGTGACATGTGCAATGACAATAAAGTTGAATTCTGTTCTATTCTAATTGGCTATCGAGCTAGGGAGGCAACAAACGCTTCAAGCGAACGCCTTAATATGAAAAAAAATAAAATAAAAGTTAATGACAACGATAATTTCAGGAGCGGCCCCTGCTGTATTCCTCATGAACTGCAAGTGTTTCAACTTCCAGGTTCAGTCTTTGCCCTAGAAAAGCAAGACGTTGAAAAAGTATGAAAAAGAAAGAGCACCTCCGTCTGGTCAAAAAAGCTTACAGCACCTGGTATTCCCAGGCGGTCTCCCATCCAAGTACTAACCAGGCCCGACCCTGCTGAGCTTCCGAGATCAGACGAGATCGGGCGTGTTCAGGGTGGTATGGCCGTAAGCGAGAGCTGTAGAGAAAAACGGGCTTTTTATAGGCCACCTTTCATTGTGTTCTCACCAGTGGGAGTACAATCTTAGTTCGATAAAAGATACACTCGAGTTCATTGTTTTCAAAACTGCCATTCAAGTTGAGATTTCAACTATAAAAAGGTATTACTATTTTTTAAGGCAAATTAGTCCATTTTCAAGATTTTTTTTTTCAAAGACTTTTTCAGAATCGTTGCCCCAGCAGAGTTCTCAGTTTTTACATTAAAGAAACTGTAATGTAAAAACTTGAATTTTATTGTTTCGTCTTGTCACCTACAAAACATTGCCTTCCAATACACTGCATGACTTATTGAAAACTAAGCTAAAGCAATATCTGTATCGCACCCAGTTTTGGAGAGTACACAAATTAAAATACTTTGTGTCAATTTGTATCAATGGAATTTGGACAATCATAATCAAACAAGCCCATTGGTTGAACCAAATAGACATTTCTACATTTAAACAAGTCCAAATATGATGGATAAAGAGAGGGTAGTGTTGATAAAAATATAAATAACATCTGCAAGTCACCAACAGGAAATACTCCTTGAAACACTGTACAGATTTATTACATTCAAAAGTCGCTGTAAAAACCAACAGTAGCCAGTTATAAATCCCTGGACCATTACACCAACTTATTAATTATTAAAAAATTACCCGCTTCCGACAATTTTAAAATGAGTTGTTGTTTTTGACAGCGTACGTCTTCTTCCACCACTTGCCAAATAAACCTTTCTTCAATGTTTTCTTGTCCATATCCCAGCTTGCTTTGTTGAGGGGAGCGATGATCAGGAGGGCAGTGCCAGAAGGCTTCACCTTTACTGTCAGGTTCGTGGTTGGAGTCTGGATGCCCAGTTCCTGATACGTAGGAAGGATCTGTGTGACGTTACACACCTTGGTACAGTATTTCCAGGTGGGACTGGAGCTGATGAGGAATTCTCTAGGGTAACCAATCTCGTAGTTGTTAAGAATGGCGATAGCCAGGCGGTTTTTCGACAACCGCCGCTCCCACAGCTCAAAGAAGTTCACCTGCCGAAAAATTGACA